CGTAAGTAAAATGTCTGACAAATATAGAAAAAGGAATGAGAGGGAGAGCTCTTTCACTAAGTGGTACAATATATGAAGGTAGAACCTAACAGATGCACAAATAAACATATCTGTAAACCCTAGAATAACGACAAAAAAAAAAAAATCACAAAAGGCATAAGTAGTAAGCCAAGAAAAGGACTAAAATAATATATTCAATATATTCTGTTCAATGAATCCATGGGAAGGCAGAGAAAGAACAGAAAACATTTAGATGGTATATAGCTATACTCATGAATATTCATGGCTTTTGTTACTAAGTTATGATGTATGAAAATAAACGGCTTATATATTCAACTCAAGGATTAGATAACCAAAGCAAAATGAGTAAGATATTAATGAATTACAAAATACTAACACAAAAGATACATCTAAGAGTGGCTCTTAAGAACAAAACAGCTATCACTAGATAGACTCACAGCAGAAATAGAAATGTATAAAATTAGCAATGAATGAGAAACAAAACATATAGAAAAAAGGATTAAAAATGTTTTGTAAACCATATGTTAAGAGTTTAAAACTTGGATAAATTGGCTAATTTTCTAGGAAGATAGAACTGATCAACACTGATCTGAGAAAATGTTAAACAGAGCTATCTCATGACCCAATTGTTCCACTTACAGGTATATACCTAAGAGAAATGAAGACAGATGTCTACACAAAAATTGATACATGAATGTCGATAGCACAGTGATAAAAAATATGGAAACAACCCAATGTACAACTAGTGAATTTTAAAAATGTGGAGCCATGAAAAGAAACACTGATACCTGCCATCACAGGGGTGAATCTTGAAAACATTATGCTAAGTGAAAGAAGTCAGTGACAAAAGACCAAAACACATGATTCTACCTTCAGAATATCCAGAACAGGCAATCCAGAGACAGGAAGTAGACTGGCGGTTGCCTAGGGCTTGGAGTTGGAGCAAAATAGGTAGTAACCACTAATGGGTACAGGGTTTCTGCCTGGGGTTATGAAAATGTGTTAAAATTGGTTGTACAATTCTGTGATTAAACTAAAGACTACTTAACTGTACACTTCAAATGGCATACAATGAAATCTTAATTATTGTTCATTGAAGCATTATTTTTAAAAATCTTTAAATATAGTTTTTAGGCATGGGATCTGGTTGAGTAATTCATGAGATAACTATTCAATGGAACACTACGTAGCAGTTATTAAAAATGAGGTAAATGTATACGTAATATCGTAGAAAAACAGCCAAGATAAAATGTTAAGTAGAAAGAATGTTGTACAGTAACATGGTCCCATTTTGCTAAGTGTAACATATTATAGGGTTGCATAGATGGCTATTACAGATAGTAAAATTCAGATGACCATACTGTTGTGGTACTGTAGGATAAGCATTGGACTACAAGGTCAGTTTGAACCACAAGGTTGGTGATTCAAATCCACTAGCTGCTCCTGGGAAACCCTATACAGGATTGCTATGAGTTGGAACTAACTTGACAGCATTTAGTAGCAACAACACATGCTAGTGTACCTGGGATGCTTTCAGTTTATACATCTGTCCTGCTATAACTTTTCCTCTCATGCTCAGGTATCCCAATTTATATGATGACTAATCCTAGGGCTTTCCTTGTTAGTTAAGCAATTTTTAATCAATATTTTACAAAATATTTTTCATTTACAAAATATTTGTTTCATTTTAGAATTGGGAAACAAAGCTTTATATCTCAGCACATTAAAAAACAAAATACATCAACAGTAGAACTAATTTATAGTGCAGAATTTATCAGGAAGATAAACTGCACACAGTCTTAAAAGAGGGTGGATACTAGCTAAGACAGGTACACTCCTGCTGCCAGATTTCTCATTGATTCCTGAACACACTATGCATTTTGATGCCTTTCTTTACCCTGTAAAATTTATAACATCATTCGTGGGCAATACAAAATTCTAACTTCAAAATTGTTGTTGTTAAGTGCCGTCAAGTTTGTTCCGACTCATAGCAACCCAGTACAGGGTTTCTGAGGAGCAACTGTTGAGTTTGAATCATCGACTTTGTGGTTCAAACCAACCTTATGGTCTCACAAGGTCGGTGGTTCAAACTTAACAGCCCCTCCTTGGAAACCCTATACAGATCACTGTGACTTGGAACCAACTGCATGGCACATAACGACCACCACCACCACCACCATGCAGCCTGCAGGCAGACATTCCCCACCCCTGGTCTAGGCAGTCAATCGCCCACATTGTTTCCAAATTTCCCACTTCAATTTATATTCAACTATAACCATTTATGAATTCCTTCTCAATTTCCAACCTGCTAAAATCAGTTTCCTCACCTGTGTTCCCACAGTACTTCATTCATACCTTTATCCCAAGGCATCTGCCTCCCCAACTATACTGTGAATGTTCTGAGAGTGGGAACCATTCATTTATCCATCTACAGACAGCAGTGTGCCTGGTACACAAGAAACAATAAATATATGTTGAGTAAATAAAACTCTTTGCTTATTTTCTTACAGCTCAATATTTACTTAAATTGGGTTCCGAATTCCCAAAGCTCTTGAAATAATTTATATCCATTCTTAGCATGAAGATCCTACCCCTAGTACAAAATACCTGCTCACCAGCCACTCCTCAGAAACCCTATACAGGGTGGCTATGAGACAGAACAGACTGGAGGGCACTTAACAACAACAAAACCAAATAAAGCACATATGACTTTCATGAGTCCTCGTGTGGTGCTGGGTAAGCGCCACAAGATCAGTTTGAACCATAAGGTTGACAGTTCAAACTCACGTGTCGCTCCTTGGAAACCGTATACAGGGTTGCTATGAGTTGGAACTGACTAGATGGCACTTAACAGCAGCACTTTCTTTTACTATTTCTGTAGGTTTTACCTCTATTGTCTTCTTTACTCAATATTTTAAAAGAAAAGTCTCCTGGATACCTGATGGGTTAATGCTTTTGTGCTTAGACACATACCACTTCCAAATTTTACTACAAGGTGACTGAATAAAAACACATTGGATAAGAATGCAGACTGGTCCTTGACAGCTTAAATAAAAAATCTACGCTTTAGTAGTATTGCAAAACTCAGTCTTGTTTCCCAATAAATCAAATGGTATTTCCACTGAAGCAAACAAGAATGTGTGTTTTTCTGTTTTTACCTGCTGTGTGTCCTCCACAGCCCTACCAGTAGAGTATATTCTTGTATGTGTGTATCAGGAACTCGTAATGGCCTTTACAGACAACTGGCTCTGTGACCTAGTTAGTAACTAAAAAAGAACTCTTTTGTAAATTTAGGATAATTTAGGTAGACATCAGAATTTTAACAGTTTTACAACTAATAATTATAAAAAACAAATTAATGCATTAAGTGCAACTAATTTGTATTATAGAATTCATCAGGAAACTTAAACTGTACACAGATGTTATTTGGGTATTTTCCTGAGGCTTTTATGGCTATTGTATTCAAAATGTTTATAGAGACAAACTAATATTGGCCACACTTTAAACTTTTAGCCTTAACTTTCTGAAGAAAATTCTGATTTTACACTAGTAAGCTCTCTGGGACATTTGTGGATAGATGTGGAGTGGCTTTCTATTTAAGCATCTGTCTGGATTACGACCCTCAATTTAAAAACCAGATAGACAGCCTTATACTGCCCCCTGCATTCCAGGTACTTGCTACTGCTATTTAATAGTCATCCAATGCCCGCCTGTAAGAAACAATACTTAGGGAACATTGTTTAAACATCTCATTCCTTTCTTCTACACCGGTCATCTCCAAATTTTTTGACTAGGCAAACTCAGTGACAAAATATTTTTTGAGCACAAATTGCCAAACAGCTATTTATTTATAAACTGTTACTATTGTACTCATATAAAAGATACACTAAAATAGACATTTTAAAGGGCTGAGAAAAACGGAATTCTATTGATTTTCTTTCCACCTTCCAACGATCATTTTGGAAGCATCCCTCTTAGGACAGCAGTTCCATGGGTACATTGAGTTTGTTTGATTGTTGGTTTAAGTTTGTATTTGTAGACTCCTGAGAACTGCCTTTACTAAATTTCTGAAACTAGGGAATGTCCTATCAGCCTCATTGGGGGTGTCACTGAACCTGTTATAAGACTTGTTGAGAACTCTGTTACACTTCAGAGCCTTCTTTGTGAGGACAGATGAAACTTCTTAGGTTTTAACACCAGAAATACCTGTAGTGCTTTTGAAAATTTGTTTTTATATGACTGATTCACATGCAGTTATGTGGTTAGGTGCCGCCAAGTCAATTTTGACTCATAGCCACCTCATGTGACAGAGTAGAACTGTCCCATAGGATTTTCTAAGCCGTATTCTTATTGGGAACAGATTGCCAGGTTTTCTTCCGGGAGCCACTGAGTGGGTTTGAACAACCAACCTCACAGAATGGATCACAGAGACGTAGCAATACTACCAGCTCACTTCTAGCAAGCCTATCCACAAAGTGTATCTATCTCCCCTGTGGCTTCAACTTCTTTTTCCATCACTCACAATTCTTCATTTACTTTGAAATCACATTGTAGCTCACTCATGGTTTCATTTTACTTTCCTATTATTCCCAATTCTTCATATACTTAAAAAAATTTCACTGTATTTATGTGTGTGAATATGTGAGTTTTAAACAAAACAAAACCAACAAGCAATAAATATTGCAGAATGGAGATCATGGTAAACTTGAAGCTCCCCTCAGCCAGAGCTATACTGTGCAGAGTCTGAAGCATCTAGCAGCAAAGCCCTTTAACTAAAGGGGAATTCGCAAAGGGGTGTTGATGAAAAGAATGACAACTCACAGTAGCACAGTACTACACTTTCTCACTCTTTTCCAGTTGGTAAGAAATGTTATAGTGAGGAAAGGGCAAATGGCTTTGTTTCACCTGTGTATAAACCATAACTAAAAAGTCCATGAAAAAGGTGGTCACACTGCCAGATGGAATTTGTAGCCATGTACCTGGATGTTTTTCCTTCTGGCGTGCTCAGCAGTCATATGGAAGTGACCTGTGTTCACTGCTTTCTTGTCTGGCCTGCACCGCTTCTCAAGGCATCTCCTTTGTTGGTTGGTGATACTGCTGTATAATTTAATTCGCCTGGGTGACAAGCATACTCTCTCGTGGCCAAAAGCTTGAATCAATCGGGCCGTGTCAATGGTGGAGACAGAGCTGCTCCTCTCGTGCAAGGCCACCTCTTTCTCGGTTTGGGTCAGACACTCTGACTCCACAGGAGAAGTGGTGGTGGAAAATAGGTTGGTGGCAGTATCTGTGAGCAGCTCACTCTCCTCTGAGGGCCGAGAATCTGAAGAAGTGTTACTTATATAATTAAGACCTGGCTGTTTTCTCAGGATATATTTATTAAATTTAATATGTTCAAATTTAACCTGACTGGGCTTCCTGGCTTGCTGTGTACTAAGTATGTTGCTTTTTTTAAGATCTTCTATGTTTCTGTTGTACTTCTCTAGGTCTTTGTACCTCTTCTTTTTCTGAAGTTTGTCCTTCTGTTGCTGATGTCTAGTACTCCACTCCTTACTATCTTGTTTCTCTCGGTTATCGTCATGTGTACTTTCCGAGGCCTGGAGAGAATGTGTGATGGGATTCTGAAGAATTTTAGCCAACCGATCAAGTCGCTCCACCAAGGAGAGTTCTTTCCTGAAGCCAAACTCAGGAGGTTTCCGGTTCCTCTGTCGCTCCTGGTATCTGTTCCAGAGCTCATTCAAACTTGCAGTGCCCTGAGCTGTTGGCTCTGGGGTGACTTTATGATCCCTTTTTAGATCAGTAATCTCCCTGTTACATTTGACATGATCCCTAGGTTCGCTTTTAGCAGTATGCATCACTTCTTTGTTCCCCAAATTCATATTGATACGGAGGCTCTCTATTCTGGTATAATCCATTTTGGTCTTGTCTACACTTTGATAAGGAGGAGAAAGAAAAGAGAATTCTTTATGTTTGTCTGGGTGATGCTGAAAGACATCTTTCCAGGAATGCCTCATGAGAACACCCCTTCCCAAGGACTCATGGCAAAAATCTTGATCAGTTGGTAGGTGCACTGGATGATGAAAGTAAAACTGGGCAGACTTGAAGACAGAATGGGTAGTATTTGCAAATTCTGAATGACATCTGGTTCCTGAGGAAAAGAAAAAAAAATAGATTACTGAAAATATTTCATTTTTTTTTTACCTCCTTTAGAAAACTATTTACACTTGCTTCTTCAGATACAGAAAAGCCAAAGAACAGTTTACAGAAACTTTCAGAAAATCTATGACCTGAAAAAATATGTCATGCTTTGTGCTTGATAGCTAGAAAGCACGGTAAAAGCTTAAGAAAGTCTGTGCCAAAAGACATGGATTCTGGGCTGGATTCTACCTCTGAATGAATTTGTGATCTCAAAGAAGGGACTTGAGTGCATAATGATGTTGTCATTAGGCACCATCAAGTCAGTTTAGGCTCATAGCATAGGCTTTTCAAGAAGCAGTTGGTGGGTTCAAACCACCAACCTTGTGGTCAGCAGTCCAATGCATATCCTACAGCGCCACACCAGGCTCCTGAGTTCATAAAAGCAGCTATTACGTTTTCATGGGCTGCTGTGTGGGGACAGTGAGTCTTATCTCTGAAAATACTACCCATTCTGTCTTCAGACCTGAAGGGTGGTCGAAGGCCATAGTCTCAGGTTTCTCCAGTCCCTTTCTGACCAGTAAACATGGTCTTTTAAAAATCATAATTAAATAATTGAGTTTTGTTCCACATTTTCTCCCACTCTATCCGGGACCCTCTAAGGTCATCCCTTTCAGGACAGTTGGTAGTGATAGTTGGGAACTGTATAGTTCCTCTGGTCTCAGAGTCCTGGAGACTGATGCTCACATGTTCCATGAGTCCAGTGGGCTAACTGATTCCAAGCTTCTTCAATTCTTATCACTCTTCCTTCCTCTACACAAGGCGAGACCAATAGTTGTACCTTACATAGCCACTCATGAACTTTCAAGATTCCAGAAACTGCTCACCCAAGCAGAATGTAGAACATTGTCTTTGTGGACTATGTTATACCAATTGACCATGGTGTGAGACTATGTCCCGAGTCTCCAGGACCATTAAGTCATTTCCTTAAGATGTTTGATAATATTTAGAAAGTTTTCATTATTTTGCTTCACCATGGAGTCCTGGTGTGGCGCTGCAGGATAATGAACTGGACTGCAAGGTCAGTTTGAGCCACAGGTTGGTGGTCCAAATTTACCAGTTGCTCCTCGAAAACCCAATACAGGGTCGCTATGAGTCAGAACCAACTCAATGACACTTATCAACAACAACATGTTCCACCGCATTCATAGTTGCATTTACAGGAAGGGTAAATACCCATGTACAGATATCCTCTTTCAAACTCATATATTTGTGGGATACAGAAATACATATATTCCACTCTTCCTCTTTTACCCATTCGGCCTGTATCTCAACCCATGTATTTACGCACAGAACAGTGTTGTTCCAAGTTGTGTATATATCAGTTTACCTCTATCCCCTTTAACCCATGCAGACCTCTATGTCTTCACCTACTTTTATTATTCTTCTGCCATCCTGCCTCTTCTTGTATATTGTCCTCTTCCTTCTTGTACCTTGTCCTCCCTATCAACCGAGCTCACATATTCTACCCTCTGGCCAGTGAATAACCTCCACTCCCTTTCTCCCACCCCTGGTAATTACCAAAGAACATTTAAAAGAGGTATTTTTAGATGTAGTATCTTACAATCAGATCTAATTGCAGACTCTGATATGGGATCAATACAATTTTCTGGAGTTCCAAGTCATGTGCAGAAAAACATGACAAGCATGAAATTCACTGTCACTTCTGGCAATGGACCTCTTTTCACCAAACACTAGATTGTTGGTGCACAGAGTTTTTATTCAATTCTGGCGGCCTTTTAAAAATTTCTTTTTTAAAGCTTTTATTATGAACTTAGTGTTGTTTACATGGGAGAACTCTGGTTTTGCCCTTATCCTATTGCATTTTGTTTTATTGCAATGATTATAATCCCCTTCATGCATCAACATTTAACAGTATTTGCTTCTATTCTCTCTGGGTTTTTTATTTGATGTACCCAAAACCCTCAGGAATATTGAATCATTTAAACAACCAAAGGGTGCATTCTGCAGGCCAGCATCCTGCCCACTATCACACAGCCTTTCTCTTTCCATGAGTCTAGAGTCCTCAGTTGCTCTATGTCTCCTTGCCATCACGTTTGCCTACATCTCTGGTGTCGCTGCTTCTCTGGTTAGGGTCCCACATTTCGTGCATTGGGGGTCTTTTAATGGTATTTCCTTTAGAGTACAGTGGGATACAGAGGGTCAGCTTGCTCTGTTCCCAAAGTAGTCATGATTCTATACAATTACAGTTATCTAGCAATTCTATAAGAATTGGGAGATCTTGTTAGTTTCTACGGGCACTTGGAATGACAGCTACTGCTTTAAACAAATATAAATTGTGTAAAGGACAAAAATAAGATGCTGTAAAGTCATTCTGAGGAGGCTGAAATGTGAAGTAAAAATATGAAGAGTTAAACCAGAAAAATGGCAGATGAAGAACATTCAGGGAAGAGGTGTCATCATATGTGAAGTCCCCCTACCACCACAGACTCTCTGTTGGTACACAAAGTCAGAATTGCCCCTCTTCCTTTCTTTCAAGAAGAATCTCCCTGCTGGGCTCTGGAGCCTAACTTGTCTTGGCTTCTTTCTCTGTCATCTCTTTTTGAGGAGCCCTGGTGACGCAGTGGTTAAGTTCTCTGCTGCTAAACAAAAAGTTGGCAGTTCCAACCCCACAGCTGCTTTGTGGGAGAAAGATGTGTCAGTCTGTTTTGATAAAGGTTAACAGCCTTGGAAACCCTATGGAGCACAGCACGTCTAGTCAATCCTACAGCATCACTATGAGTCAAATGGAGTCAATGACAATGGGTTTCATCTTCCCTCCAAGATATTCTTCTTAAAGTCTATAATCCTACAATAACTTGTATCAGTTGCTTCATATTTCAACCAGGTCTGTTTTTTGAGTTTCCAATTACATTTTTATTATGTGATTTAGTTTTGCTTGTTTTTAAACATTTATTGTGGTTTGGGTGAAAGTTTACAGAACAAATGAGTTTCCGACTCAAAAATTTAAACACATTTTTTTTTTTCATGACATTAGTTGCAACCTCCTTCAATGTAATAGCACTCTCCCTACTTCCTCCCTGGGTTCCCCATTTCTCACTGTGCATCTTTCCTGCCTTCTGAACTCTGCTTTGGTGTAAATGCTGTCCTTTTCATTTCAAAGGGTTGACTGTTCTGAGGAATATGTTCCTCATTGGTTCTGTTGTTCACTTTATAGGTCTATCTATTGTTTGGATGAAAGATAAATGATAGATAGGCCTATAAAGGCTACGAGTGGGTTTAGTTACAGGTTTGAAGGCTGTCTAATGGGCAACAGTTTTGGGTGTTCTACCAGTCTCTATCAGATCAGTAAGTCTGGTCTTCTGTATGATTTTGAATTTTGTTCTACATTTTCCCCTTACTTTGCCCAGCACCTTCAAATAGTGTGACCCCAAGGAGAGTAGTCTGTAGTGGTAGCCGAGCACAATAGTTCTTCTGGTCTCAGACTAGTGAGGGCTGAGGTTCGTGTGGCCCTTAGAGATTTTCTTCACTCCTCTTTGCTCCAGATAGGAGGAAGCCAATAAATACGTTGTATCTTACATGGCCAAGTATAATTTACTTTTACTGTTTCTAAAATTTTTTATTGTGAATTGGATGAAGATTTACAGAGCAGATCCCCAGTTTTATATTCAACAAACTATATGTTATATCTAGATTGCAATCCCCTCAAGGTAACATCATGTATCCCACTTCCTCCCTGTGTTTCCTAGTTCCATTCCTCCTTCTTTCTCAAGCCTTCTGAATTTTGTCCTTAGGTAAATGCTTCCCTTTTGATTTCAAATGGTTGAACATCCTAAGGTGTGTGTACCACACTAATGTTGCTGTTCCCTATAACTATCTATTGTTTGGCTGAAAATTAGGTCATGAGGATGAGTTCAGTTTCAAACCTGAAGGATGACCATAGTCTCAAGGTTCCTTCCACCAGTCTCTATCTATCCTGTAAGACAGTCATTTTTATGATTTTGAGTTTTGTTCCACATTGTCTCCCACTCTATTCAGGACCTTCCCATGTGATCCCTTTTAGAGAAGTTGATAGTAGTAGCTAGGAAACACTTAGTTCTTCTGGTATCAGGGTCATGGAGACTGATGTTCTCGTGGTACATTAGACATTTGGACTAATTGTTGACTTTGATCATATCTTCAGTTTCTTCAAGTCTCAGTCATACCAGAAATCTGCAGAAGCCCTCTACCCTTCTGCTCCAGTCTGAATGCACTGCATCCTAAACATGCTGGAGAGCTGTCATATTGAGTTTTGCCTTCACTACACTTCTTAGTGATGTGCCATCAAGTCAGTTCTGACTCACAGTGACTCAGTATAGGGTTTCCAAGGAGCTGATGGTGGGTTTGAACTATCAACTCTGTGTTTAGTTATACAGTGCTAATCCTACAAGGAGGAAGATCTCAAATCAATAACCTACCCTTCCATTTTAAGATGGAAGGGCACAGTGAACCTAAAGCAAGCAGAAAGGATGAAATAAATATTAGAGTGGAAATTAATGAACTAGAGAATATAAGAATAGAAAAAAAAATCAATGAAACTAAAAGCCTTTAGATTGACTGACCAAGAAAAAAAAAAAGACTCAAATTACTAGAATCAGAAATGAAAAAGCAAACATTACTACTGAAATGAAATAGGAATAAAAAGAATTTTTTTTGTTGTTGTTGTTGTTTAGTGCAGTCGGGTTGGTTCTGACCCATAGTGACCCTGTATAGTGTTTCTAAGGAGCACCTCGAGAACTTGAATCACTGACCTTGCGGTTCAAAGCAATTTTGTAGTCTAGCATATTAACCCGCAGCTCCATACCAAGGCTCCAGAAATCATTATAAGGAGATATAATTAACAATTGTTGTTCTTGTTAAGTGCCATCGAGTCGGTTCTGGCCCAAAGCGACCCTGAGCAGGGTTTCCGAGGCTGTAAATCTTTACGGGAGCAGAAAGCCTCATCTTTCTCCCGCGGAGCAGCTGGTATTTTGAACTGATGACCTTGAGGTTCGCAGCCTGATTCCTAACGACTACGCTATCAGAGCTCCTTTAGATATCAACAAATTAGTTAATTTAGATGAAATAGGCAAATTCCTAGAAAGATACAAACTACTGAAACTGACTCAAGAAGAACTAGAAAATCTGAATAAACTATAACAAACGGCACAAAGATAATGTAGATAAATCAATGGAACAGAATTAAGAATCAAGGAAAAAAAACGAAATCTCTAGGCCAAATGATTTTTGAGAAGTATGTCAAGGCAATTAAAGACAAATTACCCAATTAAAAAATGGGCAGAGAATCCAAATTGACATTTGAAGGAAGACAAATAAATGACCAGTAAGACACATGAAACCATGCTTGATATCATTAGTTATCAGAAAATATAAATCAAAACCACATTGGTTAGCTAAATAAAAGACTGGCTCACAAATTAAAGAATATCATGTGAGTATTGCACAACTTTAAAAGATCATCTATCAGAGACCAAACCGTCAACAATTACTTTAAAACTAAGATGAGAAGGTAAGGGTGGCAGGAAAACTAGATTACTGGAAATGGAACAAACAGAATAAAAATAATGAGAATGTTTTCACCTTGTGAAGAATGTAACCAATGTCACTAAACAATTTGTTTAGAAATTATTGGACAGGAACCTCATACACTGTCCAAACTTTCACCAAAAATATAGGAAAACATTATTAAAAAAACAACAACAACAAAAACACAACCACATTGGGATGCCACTTAAGATCCACTAGGATACCTAGAATCCAAAAGTCAGACAAGCACTGGTAAGGATATGGAAAAACAGGAACCCTCATATACTACTGGTGGGAATGTATAATGGTATAAATGTTGTGGAAAACAGGCTGCCAGTTTCTCAAGTGATTAAATAGAATTATCATCTAAACCAGCAACTCTACTCCTGGATATGAAAACATGTGCTCACAAAGACACTTGGACCTGAATGTTTCTAACAGCACAAAGTGAAAGAAAACTAATGTCCATTGACTGATGAGCACACAACTGAAGATAAATAGGAATTTGGTTTTATTAAACATAAAAAGGTTAAAAAATTTTGTGGGAAATTTCCATTATTTTTTAATTCCATTTTTCCACGAACTTTCTGAAGCCCTCTCGTATTATTCAGCCATAAAAAAGCAATGAAGTACTCAAATGTGCTACAACTTGGATGAATCTTGAAAATTTCATGGTAAGTGAAAGGAACCACTCAGAAATGTCACATATTATATGTCACATATTAAATGTTATGATTCCATTCATATGAAAGCCCACAGTAGGGAAATCTGTAGAGACAGAAAGTAGATTAGTGATTGTTTAGGGTTTGGGGAGGTTGAAACAGTAAAGGAGAGTAAAGGGTATAAGTTTCTTTTCTAAGGTGATGAAAATGTTCTAAGATTGACTACTGTGATGGGTGTACATTATCTGTGAATATATTTAAAAAGTCACTTTAAATGGGTAGATTTCATGGTATGTGAATTATATTTCTATAAAACTGTGCTAGTCCCCAAGAGCCAGAGACTTTTATACTTATTCACTAGATAAATCTCATCATTTGCATTATCCAGGTAATTTTTTGAACTTAACAATAAAAAAGTCCCATCTATGTGGTATGTCAAGGGGACTTAGGGGTATACAGTGGGTTAAGTGTTAGGCTGCTAACTGCTCCACGAGAGAAAGATGAGTGTGTTCTTTCATCTAATCTGAGTGGGGGTTTTTTTGTTTGTTTTTAAAGAGGTGACTTTATCCCAGACATGTTTATTTATATTTAGTTTTATTTGTTATCCATGTCTCCTTATATTTTTCTTATGTTAAAAGTTTATTTCCTGTTTTCCACTTAAAAACAAAAACAATACCCATTTCTACCACCACTCTTTTTCTAAGTATTTTGAATGTTTTAGAGTTTAACTCTTCTAGAGGTCATTTTCATAATTTTAAATAAAGCGCATTTATTCTTTGATGTGTCAACTTTACAGATAAATCTATCTCACTTATACTTACTTTGGAGTCCTGGTATGGCGCTGTGGGATAAAACACTGGACACCTCAAGGCTGATTTGAACCACAATGTAGATGGTTCAAACTCACCAGCTGCTCCTTGGAAACCCTATACAGGGTCACTAAGAGTCAGAACCCATTCAACAGCATTTAATAACATTTTCTTTAGGAGTCCTGGTGTGGCATAGTAGGACAAACACTGGACTGCTAATCACAAGGTCAACCGTTCAAACCCACTGGCCACTTCTTAGAAACCCCACAAAGTGTTGCTATGAGTCAGAACCGACCCAATGGCACTTCACAACAACGTACTTCCCTTCAAGAAACCCTGGTAGTGTCATGGGTTACACGCTGGGCTGCTAACTGCAAGGTCAGCAACTCAAATCCACCAGTGCTGGAAAAAGATGAGACTTTCTGCTCCAAGGAGCTCTGGTAGCGTAGTGGTTACAAATTGGGCTGCGAACCCCAAGGTCAGCAGTTCGAAACTACCAGTTGCTTTGCGGGAGAAAGATGAGGCTTTCTGCTCCTGTAAAGATTTACAGCCTCGGAAACCCTGTTCAGGGTTGCTATGGGTCAGAACCTGGCTCGATGGCACTTAACAACAACAATAACAACAACAAGAAGTATTTGTAGCCTCGGAAACTTTATACAGGGTCACTATGAGTTGGAATCACCTGAACTGCCTGCAGCAGCATGCTTCCTTTAACCTCCTTTAACCCTGTCTGTTCCCTTGTTGATTTTTTTCCCCATTCTTTTTCTGCATGAATGCTTTGTAGGAGTTTTTCTTTAAAATTCAGTATTCATCAGCAACATTTCTCAGTACTAATCATTACAGTATTTTTATATTTTAATGTTGTTTTTTAATATTTCCCTAGAATTT